TAATTGGTTTAATATTGTCTTTGGGCTCATATCCATGAAAAGTTGGTGATCGAGTTCACATTGTTTCTGCGTGAAAACCAAATGACCTAAATCATCTTGTCACAAGGTCGGAACTCAGGAGCAGAAGTGGTTTGGGTTAAAGAAAGGACAGAGGAAGGGGCGACACCACCAGAAGCAGTTAGACAAACTCCTGGGTGTAGCATGGGACGGAAACTAAAGGAATTGTCTCAATTGTCTCTATATATTCCTGCAGAAGCAAGATAGTTTGGCAAAAATCAAATCCATTAGAACAAAGAGAGAAGAAGGAGAAGAATACGCTTCTCTTAAATCTGACATAACAGAAGTAATGATCTTTCCTGGTATTATTATGGCATCGTAAGTAAATGTAAAATGTTCAGCTATTTCTTACCCACAAGAAAGTGAGTAGGAAATAGCTAAACACTTTTTAAAACTCCAGAAGAGAAACTTAATCTTGTGATTTTTACTCTGTAATGCAGGGGAAATTTTTCAGGTGTCACTCAGCGTGGAAGTTATTATCTTCCTGCTAAAGTCCAGATGATCTATAGGACCCCTCCCCAGTGCCCCAAATAGGAGAAACCATTCCCAGGGAGGAGGCAGCTGCCCCAAGCACTGTACCATGAGTGTAGGGGAGGTGCTTGAGTTTCCGCAGCCTCCAGTCTTGTGTACCCAGAGCAGTAAATTAGGAAGAGCAGCTGTTAAAAGCTATAAAAATCCAGTGGATGAAAGTCTGGGCTTAAAATCTAAGTTTTGAGTAATTGCAGTGAGAGAGACCACATAGTCTCTGCAGTTGGACTGGAACCAGAAGTGATCATTTTGATTTGAACCATAATGGGACAAAGAAAAACAAAGCATGTGGAAGGGGTCTCCAGGAAGATAAGAACTGGCTCCATGTTGTGGCTCACACTTATAATCCCAGTGCTTAGTAGGCTGAGACAGGAGGAATGAATGCTTAAGCCCAGGAGTTCAAGACCAGCCCTAGGCAACATAGCAAGATGCTGTCTCTACAAAATAAATATGTATACATATACATACATATATATATATATATATTTTTTTTTTAGAGACAGAATCTCACTTTGTCACCCCCACTAGAGTGCTGTAGCGTCACAGCTCACAGCAACCTCCAGCTCTTGGGCTTAGGCGATTCTCTTGCCTCAGCCTCCCAAGTAGCTGCGACTACAGGTGCCTGCCACAACGCTGGCTATTTTTTTGTTGCAATTTGGCTGGGGCCAGGTTTGAGCCCACCACCCTTGATATATGGGGCTGGCTCCCTACTCACTGAGCCACAGGCACCACCTTACAAAATATATTTTTAAAAATTAACTGGGATGGTAGTATGCACCGTGGTCCCAGCGACTTGGAAGGCTGAGGCAGGATTGTTTGAGCCCAGGAGTTTGAGGTTGTACCACTACACTACAGCCTGTGCAACAGAATGAGACCTTGTCTCCAAAACATAGTAAGAAAAAAGAAAGAGAAAGCAAGCATGCAAAAACCGTGAAAGAGGGCAGTGCCTCTGGCTCAGTGGGTAGAGCACAGACCCCATATACCAATGGTGGTGGGTTCGAACCCAGCCCTGTCCAAACTGCAAAAAAAAAAAAAAAAAAAAAGTGAAAGAACAGAAAGTAGATTGAGACGTTGCCTTAAGTGATGCCACACTTAGAAACCATGAAGGAGAGGTGTAGGGGTAGGGTTAATGCCAGCACACTGTGTGTTGTGATTAGGTGCACGTGTGTATGCATGAAGC